AGCTTGGTTGAAGGTGGACACTGGCATCTACTGGACAGAAATGAAGGATGATGTTTTATAGTCTATGGTGCGCCCACATCAAGTTATCTGGCCCTAGGTGGATGCTATTCTGAGTTCGAAACCTTGTGCTATAAAGACTTAGTATCAGGAACTCTGTAAACATGGTTTTAGAATAAACAACCCATTGTATCATTTCATGTTCTATTGCTGGTTCTCCCTCCAGAAGCCAAACACTAGTCTCAGAGTGGTGTTCCTAAATGATCTAAGCACTGTTGCCCTCCTCAAGATCTTCTGATTTCCCTTTCTGAAACAGGGTTTCACTGGAACTCACAGAGATCCACCTGCTTCAGCCTCCCAATTGCTGGGATTAGAGGTGTGCGCCATCACACCTAGCCTTCTCCTCAAGATCCTTTGATGCTTCATAAATGATTTCAGAGGTATCTCTTGGGTTATTGATGATGAAACTGTTTGGTTTCCTTTCACACAAATGGGTCACAGGAAGTGGTCAAACAAGATTCATCATGAATATGAAGTTGCTAAAACTGGATGGTGTTTTCCTGGAGGGCTCATCCTACTTTTACATACATTTAAAATCCAAATAACAGGTTTTCAAAATGTGAAGCACCTGGAATAGTGAGTTGTACACCCTGCACCTTCTGTAACTGAGTGCCTTCTCGTTTCTACTCTCTCCCTTCATCTCGTCCTTAACCTGAGGACAAACTTTTTTTTTTTTAAGAGTATTTTTGGTTCTGGAAAATCTAAACATGTTCCAAAATGTCATGCCTCTTTTAGATTAATTTCCAACTGACATTCGAAACTCTGTTTCCCAATACTCCTTCCTCTCCTAAAAGACCCCTAGTTTGGCTGAGAGGAAATGGAAGAAATCCACATTTACTGAGAGCTCATGATGTGTAGGTGCTTTAATTTTTAAGTGCGGAGAAAATCCAGAATTCTAAAAGTTTAACTTGCTGAGAATTAGAAGCTGACTATAAATCATAGGAAGTTGGGAAACCTGCCAATATTCTCAAGTATTTCAGCAATGATGGCAGGATCGCTCTACCTCATCTATTTTGTTTTGCCATAAACCATAATGTGTATCAGCTATTCGTGTTTTCTGCTTGTGTGTGTGTTTAAGTCATAAAGTCACAGAATGTCTGAGTCTGCACTTTTGAACATACCCTAACATTTTAACCCTGTCAAAAAATGTGTTTTCTGTTTTTCTCTCTCTAAAATTTTTCATCTGACTTTCAGCTCATATTCCTTAGGCTACTTGAATACTTTCTTGATAACAGTGGGACATGGGATGAGGTGGGGGGGGCAGAAGGGAATGGAGCTGAGGAGGTAGCTCCTTATAGTCCTGGCAGTTATTAAAAACCAACTACATATGACTGTTTTTATATCTTTTGCAAACTGAGGAATGGGTTTGACTCCTGGTCTGCTATATAAAGATGTGTGGCCACGTTTGTTGCAGCACTCTCTCTACAGAGCTTCTGAGAGAATTAAGTTCTATTAACACCCTAAGCATTAAGCACAGGCAAGACAAATGATTCATGAATGTTACATCCTCATCAGCATCTCTAGCTCCTAAGTAGCAAGATGACCAGCCAACGCTGACTCCAAAGGACTCACAAACCAAAGGTGGCAATAACACACTCGCCAAGGTTCCATTAAAAATGGTGGCCCATTGGAAGAACCTGGAATTATTCATGTAGCTTTAGTGGCCTCTTTCCCTGCCCACAGAGGAAGAAACACTGCCTGAAGATGTCCTTATTATTGGCAGTGGTGGCTGCTACTCTTTGCCTGTATCTGTGGTCCCAGAAAACCCGAATGCAAAAAGATGGACCAAATGGCCAGGGATAGTTGGCTCTGTGGCAAGGACATCAAGAAGAATAGCACCTGGACCGGGCGTTGGTGGCACACGCCTTTAATCCCAGCACTCAGGAGGCAGAGGCAGGCGGATCTCTGTGAGTTAGAGGCCAGGATTGGCTCCAAAGCTACACAGAGAAGCCCTGTCTCCCATGCCCAGAAAAGAACGCTAGTTACTATTATTTAAATAAGCCATTGCTATTGGACCAATGATCATCTGCCTTTTCCCAAAAATAATTCCAATGCCCTGTGCGGCTGAGAGAAACAGATTTCAGTGACCTACATGAACAGAAATGATTTCAGAGCCAAAGAAAATAAACACAAAAGGTGAAGGGGAGTCATACGACTGAAAAAAAAAAAAAAAAAAACCCTACCTAATTGCTGCCAAGGAAGACAAATTTGCATACAGCCCCTTGGGAAGTTGGCACTGTAGTTCAACCTTCTCATTTTGTTTCACAAACCTAAGCAATGAACTGATTGCCCTCTGCCTCGCCACTAAAATCTCACCTCAATTAGTGAAGTTTGTGAAATTGCCTTGATACCTGGTTAAAAAAACACCTCTCCTCTTGAACTTTTATGTAAAGAAAACAGTTGACCATTCAGTATAATGACTCTAAGTTTAAATAAAAGTAATTACTTAATTTATAAGAGAAATTACTTAGAAAAATACTATTGGAGTTTAAAAAAATGAAAGAATTGCTGGAAGTTATAGTGTTGTAATATTAATGCCTAAGTCTGGCACAGAGCACAACCAGCTGCTGCGTTCAATTACCAGCTGAAGGAGGGTTTTGGAAATAGGGTAAGGGCTGGGGAAACGAGGTGGCTGCTGCTATTGTTAACTACTTTTACAAAACGAAACACAGTCAGCTGTTGCCCAGCTATGAATTCTGTGCAACACAATTTATTCATACTCCTTTTCCCTACACTCAACAATGAGGGTATCGGCATTTGGGCCCAATTTGAGTGAGACTGCCTGTTGTACCTTTCAGATGACTGAGAAGCCACCAATGACAATAAAATGAGCCACATTCATGACAAAGACCAATAAACACCTGGTATATCCAACCTGAGTTTAGGAAGGTTGCTCTTCCACTGAGTGTTGGGGCTGGAAGGGTGTGTCTGGCATATCTCCTGTTCTAATCTCCCCTCTCCAGATGCAGAACACAAAACAGGGAGGTTGTGAGTGCTTACCACAGCCCACTGGGTATGGAGGGGGCAAGGGCAATGCCCTAAACTTCCGGGTTGTGAGCCAGTCCCACCCCATGCTCCCCTGCCTCTTTGAAGGGGTGAGATACCTGGGATGGCACAGCGTTTTGTTTTTTGGTTTTTTTGCTGTTGTTGTTGTTGTTGTTTCTTTCTTTTTTTTTCTTTTACAAAGGCCACACCTTATTGAGAAACTGACCAGCATGTACCCACCTCTTCTCTGGTAGCTCATGGCTGCTCCAGAGCAACCACTCACTGCTTAGTCCTGCCAATTCCAGCCCCAAAGTATCATCCCAGGGGCACCTTAACTCCAGATCTGATGTCAGTACCAGTCACCATGCCCCCTCTAATGCCCAGCAGCCAAGGACCAAGCTGCTTGCTGGCTTTTGCTAGGCTTCTCTCTGCCCTTCAGGGTGGTGGGACATGGTCTGCGATTCCAGTGCTGAAATACCTTACCATGTAAGCTGTCCTACCTCTCACACCCTCACACCCTGCCAACCTTTTCTCAGCTTGACACCCTTTGACAGCAAGGATTCTGGAGAGCAGAGAGCGACAGGCTGTTTCTAGACAGGGAGGATTGTAACTACGCAGATCACCCATGGGACACGTGCCCCCACCCCTCAGCTGTTGACAGCTGCCTTGACACATCCTGGCTTACTCATGCCCCTGGCGCTGTGATGTCCTCGGGATTCCCCACTGGTTGTGTGGCCCTGCCTGTCCTGGTGCTGATGCCACATGTTTCAGGACATGCCCCTCCTTTTCTCCTATTCAACACAGCTTGGTGAGTGTTCTTACACAGGGACGGAAGCCCTGGACATGAAGAGGAGCAACAAAGTTCTGAAAACTTTGGTTCCACCAGTGTCCCTAAATGGATGATGATCACAGATTATAACGGCTCCCTAAGGTGTCTATGCTTTTGATGAAGCATTATCATAGCTTGGAGTCAGCAGAGCCGTAAGCACAGAAACCTGAACTGTGAAGACTGCAAGTCCCAGCATGCCACAGACTCACAGAAGCACATATGAGCATAGTGGAGAGGAACATGGCAGAGCCAGACTTTATGATGACCTAATTCTTTTGTGGTGCTTAGGATGGAACCCAGTGTCTTCTGCATGCCATCTAGCACCATCCCTCTGGCCCCTTGATCCATTCTTTACAAAAGAGATGTTCCATAAATGAATTACAAATAGCCATAGTGACAGAATGAGAAATCTCTTGGGGCAAAGAATTATTTTCTAAATTGACTGGCCTTTGACTTATTTATTTTACATTTATGTGTTCATTATAAATGGGTGTATGTGCTTGTACATGTGTGTGCCATGGAACACATGTGGATGGATGTCAGAGGACAACTTGGGGAAGTCAGTTTTCTTCCTCTACCTTGTAAGTTCAGGGATCAAACTCAAGTAGTCAGGCTTCATGGCAAACACTTTAACCTGCTGAGCTATCCCACTAGCCCTGATTTATTTTTTGAATAAAACTGGGCTTCAATTTACAGAACTGAAGTTTTTATTAAAAAATATTTACTCTGTGTACATGTACATATGTGTCACATCATGCAAGGTAAGGTTGGAGGAATTTGTCACTGTATATTTGTGTGTGTGTGTGTAGAAGAACATGCATCACACCATGGAAGTGAAGGTCAGAGGAAGCCTCACTCTGTATCTGTGTCTGTGTCTGTGTCTGTGTCTGTGTCTGTGTCTGTGTCTGTGTCTGTGCCTGTGTGCATCCTTGCGTGCATGCGTCACACCATGTAAGTGAAGGTCAGAGGAAACATTACTATGTGCATCCCATGTACCTGCATGTGTTCATATGTGTCACACCATGCAAATGAAGGTCAGAGAAACCTTGCAGGGGTCATCCCTCCCCCTCACCATGTGGGTTTTGGGGATCTTTCCGAGAGCAGGCCTTAGACCCCCATTCTCACTCACCTTTATAATCTGCCTGGTGGACCACAGCCAGGGGCTTGGTAAATGTCTTCTTATGCTGCATCATGGTCCAAATCATGGTGGCATCTAGAGAGGTACAGGCCTCGTCAGGCGTCACACACTGCAGAGAGGCAGAGCATGTCAGTCATGGGTCATAGGAAAGTCACCAGTCCCGCACACAGTTGTCTTCTGGCCGCTTATCAGATAGCTCAGCAGATAGCTCTTTTTCTATACTCTACAAAAATTAGGCTTCCCACAATTACTTGTTTCCTGTTTGTTTTGGTTTGGACTATTTTTTTTTTTCTCCTGGTGCAGACATTTAATCCAGTACCCTACACATGCTCAGTGCACGCTCTAATGTGTCACCCAGGCCTGAAACTATGAGACCAGCAGTTTCTAGCTATTTTGAGTCTTGAAACTTATCAGGGATATGTTGGGGGGGGCATCATATCTGGAAAAACTGTATGTTTCTCTGGGCCACACACAAGGCAGATACACACTGTAAGAAGACACCCCGCCCGGCCCCCCAACACCCTGAAAAAAGTTTTCCTGGAGAGGGAAAGGCATGTCGTTGTGGCAAGGCATATTTTTGAAAAGATGTGTAATTCACATCACAGTTTCCATTTACTGTCTGGTTAGCCCTCTAGTCAAATAGGAACACACGATGCTAACTCTGTCTCAGAGGCTAACCCTAGGCCAGACACTTAACTCACAGCAAAGGACAGGACTGGGCTCGACAGTCATTGGCATTTTTTCCTAGAAAGTCACAGAAGTATTTGGGCATCACTAGGAATAGGAAATGGCTTCTTTTAAGAAGGAGGTGGCATTAACAGCTCCTCCTCAACATGCTTATTGCACGCACCTGAAGCCTCCTTTGCACTTCCACCCAGGAGGGACATGCGTTGTTACTTACTTTTCTAGACAAGGACTAAGTTAGCAGTGGCCCAGAAGCAAGCATGTGAATATAGCCTTTGGATATGTTCCCTGGGGGATGGCAATTTGCCGTGCATTTATTTGTAGACAAAACTCAAATCAATGACTGTTCAGGGAAATGATTCAAGGAATTCAGGTCAAAGGAAATATTTAATTTTTTTTCCTTCCCTACTTTTTCTTCCAGTCTCTATATAGGAGAAATTCCATATATATAACTGCTACAGCCTGACTCTGGGGTTCTGAGACACCAGTGGATCTGCGATTACAAGAGAAGTAGAAAGCAGTTCAGACTGCATGTGACAGCCACAGAATAAACACACAGAGGAAGTTACACGCAATCACATCAGGCCATGGAAATGAAGTGACAGCAGGAGACATCTGTCCCACACAAGGCAGGCCTAACCAGGTGTCATAATTGACCTAACACTGGCCCTGCAGTGGCTGCTCCAACAAGGTCACCGGGTTTTGATTTCTGTTATGGTAACAGAACATAGCAGTTTAATATGGGCAATGGCATGAGGCAATGTGATGAACTGATAAGGAACCAGGCAAAAGTAAAATATTTGTTAATTTCCCTTAGAAATCCTCTGGAGATAAGGCCATCTTATAACTCACACAGAGAAGGTCAAAAAACAATTGAAATCCCAGTCTCAGTGGGACCTGGAAAAACTAATCCTCACTGATCTTGTCCTTTAGATCCCTTGTTCTTCTGGCAAGGCACGCTATCTGACCAACAGCCAGGGCCAGGCCTCTCCCTCTCTGGAAACCACTCCTGATTTATCACTCTAAGGTACAGCTAAGCACATACGGAAAAACAAACTACCATGCTGTCAGGATTTATTTTCCAAAACCCCAAAGTACTTTATTCCCTGTTCAGACTGTTACTTCAATCGGAAGGCTTAAAAAGAAAAAAAAAAAAATAACCTCAAAACTAAAGCCTGCTATAACTTGAACTACACTTTCCTGTTAGAGCATCTTCCTGACCTAAAATGTGCCCAAATTGCAGTCCAAACAGACGACAGCCCACTCACCTTTGGCAGCTTCTGGGGGCTCTTCTTCCTGGTGCACAGTGTCAGCTCACATTGCAGAAAGAGCAGGGAGGTGTTGAAAATGGACTTGAAGACAAAGCTGAAGCGTTTCCTGTCCACCTCAGCGTGTGAGAGGGGAAAGTGCACTTTCCTGGGGCTGTAGAACCTCACAGACTCATCTTTGGGACAGATGTTCTCGATGATGGTGTAATCGGACATCCTGTCCGGGTTTGAATATGGAGAGACAAAGCAGGTCTGGATGGCAAATCCCAGTTCTTGGTCAGCCTTGGTGACAGATACCTGCAAAGGGAACAGAAAGATCAAGTCAGAAATAGCTAGCATCTTATTTTACTCTAGCCTTCAGGCAATGTCCCAGCATAATTCTTTGGGTGAGAAATGGGTCCATTCTCACAATGTATTTGTAATTTTCTAGCTATAACGGTTAACACATACTGATCAATGAATGGTGTTTCCCATTTAAACTCGACACGAATGACAGCAGATTGTTTAATTCAAATGCTACCCTACAAGTTACAAATACAAGATGGGTTAAGTCTCTCTGACCCTCTCTGTAAGTTCTCAGAGATAAAAAAAATAAAAGCAAATTATGCATCTAAGTGGATTTTCCAAAATAAGTAAAATACAGGTAAAGCCCTCAATGTCACAATAGCAGATTACCACCAAGACAAGTTTTTTGTTTTTTTTTTGTTTTGTTTTGTTTTTGTTTTTTTTTTTAATGATGCCCAATAGCTCAGGACAGAGGGGGAAAAGCACATGACTGAGGCAGGCAGGACTGCTTGAGAAAGCAGAGCAGAAAGTCATAGATGGGTCCCACTTTGTCAGTGAGCAGGCCTATGGTGCCTTGTATCGGGGACAGTGTGACCTGTGGCCATCACCAATGTGGCACCAAACCAGCCTTGCCAAGAATTCTCCCATTATTCTTTAATCCCAGGTGGGAGTTAAAGGGAAAACTAACCTAGAACCATTCCCAACTCATTTATACTCCCCTCTTCAAAACATTTGTATCTGCTGTGTCCAGATCTTGTTAAGATTCTTTTTGTTTAGACACTGGAAGGAATGCTTAGCCAAATTTAAACAGCATTCAAACCTTTGCTATCCTGAACTCTGTTAAAATCCCTGAAACAAGACCGGCTCCACTGTTTGACACATGATGCACCATGTTAACTGTTCTTCTGACTGTTGCCTCTTTCCTTGACTAAGTTAAGTATAAACAATAAACTTAAACACGTTAGAAATAAAGTTAGTCCTTACTCATAGACCAAGAGCACCCAAATGCTTAAAAAGACAGAGATAATAAACAAACTTTGCATTTGGAGCCCGCCCAGGGGAAATCCCCAACACTGCAGGAACCCTCAATCCATAGCATGCCCAAAAGATCCCACACTGGTAACTAGGAGACATTCAACATGAACAAGGTGAAGCTAAATATATTGCCACCTTGTTTAATGTCCCATAAATATTTACTTTCACTATCTTTGAGTTACTTCTGACGAACAAGGTATTCTATCTTAGAGAGATGGTAAACCATACACATGCTACAAATAAAAAGTATCATTTAACATGAACTCAGTCTTCAGTGCAAAAAAATATGTTGACCCTTACTTTCAAAGGTATGCAATGGCAGAATGTCTAGACTGTCTCACGTGTGTTTCGGAGGAGAAAAATCTTGGCAAGTCTTATTGCAGCATGGACAGGAAGTGAATGGTAGGAAGATTATTATAGGTTTGGGATCCACATGCTCTGCTGGGGATATGCACACCAACTATTCTTTTTCTCATCTTGCCTACAGGATGATGGCAGGAATTAATGTACAAGACACAGTGAGAGAAACAGAGAAGTAAAAGGTTCACGCAAGCAGCTCAGCTCCCAGCCAGCAAAATCCTAGTGTTGTTAGATGCTAACTCACTAAGCCAAATGAACTGAAAAGAACAACTACCATATCACCGACGATCACCCAGGAATGATTAAGGGTAGGAACTGTGGTCTAGAGGGAGTGGAAGGTTCCAGAAAAGGTTGAGGAGGGCAGCTGGAGAAGAAACCAAGCAACGGCTTTTCAGATTAAGCCAATGAATTATGAAGTTTTATTTTACTTAAGTAAAAAAAAAAAAAATCCTTACTAGAAGCAGAGTCCAAACAGAAAGAAAGACAAGGCATAGTCAGTTGCTATCCTATTTAGCAAAGCATTTATAGATCCCTTCATATTTTGGATAGTTTTAATCAAGTTTAAAATCATTTGTAACAACTCCACAGCCCCAAATCCTTAACATACTTGATATTTAAAATAGTCAAAAAAAGATTCTATCTACCTTTTCAATCAAATTTAACTATAAAAACATGATATATGAAAAGAAATAAAACAGAACACGAGTGAAAATGAAGAAGGAAAGGGAGAGGGAATCTACCAACAATATAATTCAAGTAAGCCTGTACTCCAGGGGCAAGGAGAAAAACCTGGAAATACCCAGGGTAGGACACCGAAGGCAGATTCTCCACTGGCTAACATAAATCAGCAAAACCATTTATGAGCCGGTCTAGGCATATATAAGCAAACTCCAGCTAAGCAGTGTCTTCTCCAACCTATGGCATAGTTGGGAGTCACTGACTGACAATGTTTGTGGACTGTGAATACAGAAAATGCAGAAGAGAAGAGCACTCTTGTAGGAGAGATCCCTGGTTAGGAATGGCACACACAGGACAGTGCCTTCCCCAAGAGCCCTGCAATGCACTCACAACAGGGAGTGGAATGGGAGGGGCCAACTCCAGTGTGACTGAAGAAAACATGGTGGGGGGGGGAGACACCTGGCTGACTGCAACCTAGTGTCAATGTCAATGTGTGTTGTTTGCCTTTGCAAAACAGACCAAGATGCTCTTCTCTGCTCTACAGCAATTGTCACCTACAAAGCATGCTACTTGTACCCTTTAAGCATCTCACCTCTCCCACTGTAAAGTACAATCTGCTGTGCCAGAGCCAGACTGTCACACAAGGCCCTTCAGTGCTACCAGCAGACAGTGTCCCCATGCGGACACTACAGACAGCAGACAGAAAGCCTGCTGCCATAGGTCCATCTTCTCCAGAATGGAGTCTGTGAACTTAGATATCGACATTGATATGAAGTTGTTTTCTTCCCTTTCATGTGGCAATTTGAAGGGGAATTACAGTAGCACCGGTGGTCAGTAGCATGGCCTCTGGAGGGAGGACTTGGTCTTATATCTTAATTTTCTCATCCAGTAGTTGGGTCTTAATAAGTCCACTCTTAATAATAAGTTCATTCTGATGATATTCATAACTGCATTTGGGAAGCATCATAAAACAGCAATACATATTAGCTGTTACTATTTCATTATTATCACCACTATCTGATATTTTCATAGACATTCCAGATTTAAGCTATGCATGATGACTGCTGTTCTAGATGGGAAACAGTTTTGACAAATTTGTGAGGCTGTTTAGATAACGACTCAGCAGAAACCATTTTCACAAGCACACAGCTTTTCACTTGAAAGTAAATCCAAGATGAAGTGTGAGGAGATTTGAAAGCATCCATGGCTAACTCCAATACTGAATGACGGAACAACTGTCCCTGAAGTGTTGGCGTCAAAACAAGTAGGGTACTTTACTGGTAGAAGTCACGCTTTGCTCATTGTCATTTACACACACACACACACACACACACACACACACACACACACCCCACTACATCCATTTAGCATAATCCATAAAAATCCTTAATATTTTCCTTTTTTTTTTCTTTTTTGTCAGAAAGTGACCTGAAGAGTTTTTCTGAACCAAGCCCTTTCTTAGATGGAGGGAGAGACTGTGCATGGCTCTTCAGCTAATGTTATAGGAATTGCATAGGACACTAGGCTGGACGCCCATTCTCACCTCAACATAAACATGTCCATTCTCTGCCACGGAGAAGACCCCAGGGGAAGGCACCAGAAAGAGGTCTGTGTTATACAGCTCCATGTTGAAGGTGATATTTCCATCGAGTGGGTCCTGTAAGCCACTAGGATTCCTCAGCTGCCTCAAGCTGCAGTTAAACTGGAAAAGTGCCAAACAGATGAGGCTAACTCAGTCACATGATAAGCTTTGGCCTTTTTACATGTGATTTTATTTTTTGACAGTTCCCAATTAAAACACACCAAATAAACAATAATGTTATCCACAGAAAACCTAAGGGAAATCAACACATACCACCACAATTCCAGCTCTGCTCAGTGGGGTGATTTCTTCATCTGTGTCTCCTGGAAATCCATTGTCACCTGACTCCAAGTCCTCCAAGCCATCTGACCAGCCACTGCTGTCCTCAGGGGATGGAACCTGTATCACAATCTACAAGGCAGGGGACACACAGCTATTGACCCTGGTGGTAGGAGAACACCATGCCACATGCCTCTGTACCCATATAACAAGCACAAACAGAAAATCTGACTGTACAAGCAACAGCAAGAGCAAATTCTCCAAGCTTTTTTTTTTTTCTCGTCTCAAGACAAGAAATATGTGATAAGAAAATACAGAAAAGCGCAAACAAGATGAAGATCTAAACTAAATTTTTGGATTTTTTCCTTGCAAATATTTACAGATTTATTTATAACTATGTTGAATAATTGTAAGTTACTTCAAGCAGGGGCGACACTAGACATTGAAGTGGAGTCTGTGGGGCTGCAGACAGGCTTTCCCATATCTTGTGGGTCCTCAGGCACTGCTTAATTTGTATCCGTTATTAATGTTTTATAATGTTTGAATTATACTTTGTGTGTAACATAGGCACGTGGTGATCCTAGAACAATTTGCGAGTCAGTTTTCTCCTTTCAGCATACATGGGTTCTGGGCCTTGGTGGCAGGCGCTTCACCCCATTGAGCCATTTCACTGGCCTTTTTAAGGTTTGTAGAAAGTTTGGTTTAAGTTAGAAGTATGGAACCTAATATTTTCATAGAGCCAGTTTTCTCACCTTTGGTCTTGCACCGTGTGTGTGTGTGTGTGTGTGTGTGTGTGTGTGCGCGTGCGTGCGTGCGTGCGTGCGTGTGTGTGTGTGTGTGTGTGTGTCTGCATGCATGCATGTTCAATCCATCCCACTTTCTTTTGTGTGTCTGGGTGTAGAAAAGAAAATGTTTTATTCACAACAATCTGTCTTAACATTGGCTGGAATTATTGTACTGGGCTAGTTCTGAATAAAATGGAAGGGCGACCCAAAGACCGCACCTCCACAGAGAAAACCCTAATTTATTTCCACTTCATACACTTGAATTGTGAGCCTAATGGAAAATAAAAATACATAGGAGATTCCTACAAACCGCTGCAACATTCACGGAAGGGGCAGAATGGCAGGAGTAAGGGTTTGTCAGGCAAGAGAGCATGGGGGCGTCTGAGGCAAGCACCTGGAGAACACATACCTTGCTCTGAACAGTCAAGAAAATAAAAGCATACAAGAAAGAGGTGACTTTTAGGACCAGGATAGCCTTTTTCTCATGAGGCAACTGAAACGTTAAACTCGGTAGATCACCACTTCTTCCCAGTGCTAATTTGGAAGTCAGTTTAAAACATCCTAACCAAGTACATCACTATTGCATGGCATTCATTATACCCAGGGTTTTAAAATCAAACTACAAAAATGGTCCTTTGAATCATTTATGAGGAGATTTCATGCTTTAGAGTCTTTTATTGTCCACCATCTAGCCTCCCTCTCTGAAGGGAACAGGTTTCACTTGAAAAGATTATGTTTTGGCAGGAATGATTTCGGGAAAGCAAAAATTAGTGACTGCAATGTTATTTGGTTGTGCTTGGGGGTGCTTGTGGAACCCTTTCCCAGTAAACTCCAAAAATGGTTTCTCTTAAAAGTAGAGAGACCTGGTAATCTCAACAGGATTCTTTTCTGGTTTTAAACTCATGAGGAGGGGGCTGGAGAGATGGCTCAGTGGTTAAGAGCACTGCTCTTCTGAAGGACCCAGGTTCAATTCCCAGCACCCACATGGCAGCTCACAGCTGTGTGTTACCCATGGTAAACTCACAAGAGAAGGAGTCTCCTATCACTTTTGAACAAGCAAGAGACTGTGTATCTGGACAGAGATGTTCATGTATAACCTAGGGCTTTGGGATTTTAGTCCCAGAAGGACCAGTTCATTTGACCCTCCAGTGTAACCACAGCAGGATGGCACAGGCAGTCAACTTCCTGGTGAACATCATTAGATGGGAGAAGGAAGTGTGTGAGATTATCACAACTCCAGCTGAGAAAACAGGGCCTTCAAATCCCAAAGACATTTAAACAAAGTAAGAGTTCAGGGTCAAAGCCTACCCCATTTCATTCAGAGACATGTTAAGACTGAAGCTGAGTAATATCCATCGTTGCCACGAGTACTCACAGAGTTATAGTAAACCACACCATCAGGGGCTGACCGCCGGTGTCGAGTGCCACAGCCATTCAGGGGAGACTCCAAAACAAAGTGGGTGCCATTCATCTTGGCTTTGCATGTAGGATCCAACAGGGTGAGCTCCATCCCTGAGTAGCTGTTGGTCTGAAATGGAAAACACCAAAGGCATAGAGGAGGCCTGACAGCTGCTCAGGCACACGCAGTAACAGGCAGTATCTATCTCCCAAGGTAGAGGTGGCTCACAGGCCTGCATCCTACTCCCCCCCCTCCACCTGTCAACAGCCCAAGGACTGTGTTTATTGGCACTGAAAATTCAATAGCAAAATATTGACATATGAGGATCTGAACTCCTCTTTGGAGAACAACAGGAAGTGGACGAGGGTCTTAGCCTAGGGGAAGTGGCCTATCCAATTGGGAAAAAAAAACATCAACTGTGGGGTTCAAAAGTGAAATAGTGAGAGGGAAATAATGAACGCAGAGTTGCAGCTAGCTGGGGAAAGTTTAAGAGTCTGCACTGACCCACCAACCTGGAAGGAATCTTTGTCCACAGCTACAGTCATCTTGTCACTGTCACACTTGACCGACACAGCGACATCCACACTCCCTTGTACCTCCTCTGGCTCTCTGTGGTCAGGAAACAGTGGAACGCTGGGAATGACAGGATCCTTTGGACGGGGAATCCTGTCTTCTCCCTCCTTCCAGCCTCTCCTGGGGATATCCGGGAAAGGAAAGAGGAGACCTCCATTTTGGTCCCCCCCTCCCCAGACGGGTGGGTTATCCAGGCTAGGCATGAGGCCAGGGCCCAGCAAGATCTGAAGCTCTGGAGGAGTGGTGTAGACTTCCTGGTCTCTCATCTCCTCTGTGGAAACAGAAGGCAAAGCATCGGGGCCTTCATTAGAGAGTTACCATAGAAAGGACAGGAACAAAATTAGAGTGAGTGAACAAGGTGTAGGATTGACTAAGTGTTGGGGCCCAAACGTAAGATCTCAGAAATATGCTTCAACTCAGCCACAAAATTCTAGGAGCTCAGAACTATTGACTTGTAGGTGGCGGCTGGTTACCTCCAGATAGTGGCTCCTAGTTTGTGTACCAAAAGACTTAGACCCTGGATGAGTCCACACCCACCCTGAGGGCTAGTGAGATGTGCCTGAAGGCTGGAGACACTAGTGTTTTCCCCAGGATTCCCTGCATCCAGGGTTATCTGAGTCCAGCTGATGTATGCTTAAGGTCACAGCCACCTCAGGGCAAGATAGGCAGAGATGATTAATAGAGATGACCTTTTGAAAAGGATGCTATATAGCTGTATGGGTCCAAATGAAGCCACAGCTTGGGAGTACTTTTAACCTGCACACTGATAAAAACCAAACAAATGACACTGGGATGCTGTAATTTTTTTTCTTAATTATTGACAAGGAATCTCAGGTTTGGAGGTTTAGCGATGCCTCCCCTAATAGTAAACACATGATCAAGCTGGGTGGGACCCACAGCTGGAAGTTACTGCACCACTTGGTACCATGGGTGAGGAACAGTTGAGGGATCAGAGAACTTGGGGTTCAAATCACACCTGCTTTAGGACTCCAGAAATTCCCAAGGGCCTACAGACTCTACTTCTGTTAGCCAAACCGGAGACACAATTCTGCCTCCACACTCTGAATAAAACCTCCCCTGTCTGAGTCCCCATGGCTGTTTTCCTGTACACTTCAGCCTTTTGCCACAGGCTTCTTCCCAATGGTCTTCTTGGCTCTGAGTGGTCACTAGTCACTCTGATCACAGAGGATGAGAAACAGAAATGCCTGACATGCAACCCACTCTCCATCACTGAATATATGTGCTACAGTTGCCTCTAATACCCTCATAAGTTTAAGCTTTACAGTGAAACACAGTCAAACAAATTATCAAAATGGACAGCAAAAAACAGTAACAATCATAATGGAAACAAGAGTCTTTCACAGAAATGCTTCATCTGAGAGACAGAAGACAGCATGTACGGAACATCACACTTACCATTGTTCTCAAGACGAAGATGAAATCTATTAGCTGCAGGCGCCATTGTGTATGACGTCACTGGACTGTAGCCATTGTCCAATGCCCACTGCATCAGATTCTCTTGGGTGGAAGGGATATCATCTCTTTTCAATTTGGTCACTGTCATGGATGTTTCACCCTCTTTTCCAAAGCCAACACTGTTGGGAGCCTAAAGATAACAGCAAAATTTCACTCATGAGTCTAAAATTAAAAGTGCTGCCCAGGAACTGCTCAGGGTCAAGCCAAGAAGATCAGTCAACATTCCAACAGGCAGCACTGATGGAACTCAGTGAGTTACAAAAATGAAAGACGAGGGAGGACAAGAAGGTAGGGAGGGAATATTTTATGGGGTGTCCATAGAGACTGAGGCGGGAGTTGGGGGTAGATGTAATCAAGATACATTGTATACATTTATAAAGTTGTCAAAGAACAAATGGTATCTTAAAAAGAAACTTTCAATAGGAATTATCTCAAACCAACAGATCCCAAATTGTATACTGAGGATCTCTACCCTTTAACTCTTGTCTTCCTTGGATAAGACACCAGGATGAAAATTAACACACACAAAGAAACGCCCATCCATACTGCTTACTTGATTTATTTTGGTTGCTTGTGCCTCTAAGTACACATGTCAAACGTTCCCTTCCTATTTTTACTTAAAATTGTGTATAAAGTACATAAGTGTGCATACTGTGTTACAAACACTCCCGTGGTTTTGCTTCTCATGGCCTAGATCTAAGGGAAAGATGATATGATTTCGTGACTCTCCCATAATTTGGGATTGGTTTAGCCATCTTGAAATCACTTTCACTTGCCAATTCTGTTAATATACTATATTTTATGCTCTGGGGTTCTAATTAAGATACTGCCTAATTATTAGCATTTTATTTAGCAATAAAGGAGGAGGCCACAGAGTTGCCCTTATATGTGTGTATAGGCCACACATCTATTAAAAACGAAAGGCTGAAGTGGCCCCCTCTATAAAAAGATGATATGAAAATCCATGAAGCCATATTAAAAGGTTAGTTTTATTAAATAATTGGTTATAATGCCAAAATGCTAGTATTCTCTCAAAGGAAGTGTGTGAATGGCTCTGAGAGGCCAGGACATGGGCAGTAAATGTCTCTGTGGCCCTGTTGACTCCTGAGACTAGGATCTTGTCAGAGGGTGAAGAATCTGACCACTGCAGAGGGACCCAGTGGCAAGGCACAGTTTGCGAAACCCCCTCCACCCCAAATGGGGCGGAGAAGCTTCCAGAGCACAGATTATGCCATTGTCACGCTGCATCAAAATCCCTTTAATTTCCATGCCCAGTGATTTTCTCCTGCATATCTGCAGCATTTTTTCCTAAATTCCTCATTTGTTTCCCATTCTATTCACCCCAAACATGACTAAATATTAATCCTTTCCCACTATAAAGCCATAAAAGATTCACAGGATCTCAGTTCTCTTGGCCTTCTTGGTTGTGGGAGATTGGCTGAGGACACATATATGACAAAGCTTAAATATCTGTCACCCAAGATTGTCTCCTGTTACCCAAAGAGCTTATCTAGGGGAAACCTGCCAGGCTGGCGGGTCACGACTCCTGAGTTCGAACAAAGAAACCCAGATGGAGAGGAGCTGAATACTGACTGCTACCATTTGTAAATTCAGTTGTGATAGATGGGGATTAGTTTAGCTCTTACTCAAATTCAGAGAAAAATCCTAAGGGAAGAATGAGAAGAAAAGAGAAAGGAAGGGGAGGGAGAGAGGAATGGGGGGAGGGTGGATTAGGAAAGGAAGTGGAATGAAAGACAGAAAGGGACTGAAATAAGAAAGGCCCAGGCAGCTCTCAGAGCTTACCATTTGGTCCACAGGAGTTTCAGAGGTGCAGCTTCTCCCAGCCATTCAAAGCAGCATGTGTTTTGACTGGCTGGGAACCACAACCTTGGCCTAAACAATACTGCCTGGCCTCATCTGCCCTAGACGTTCATGTTGTCAGACAGCTGAGAAAATACTCTATTTCCAGAATCCCATCATCTCAATGGCCACCTGTCCCACTGTACCAAGTACAGAATAATCTGTTCATGCCTTTCCACATTGAATCTAGAAGCTTTCAGTATAATTCATATTAATTATGGTTCGGGACTAAAATGATTAACCATCACTTATACACTAGTAAAGCAGGAAGACCCGGGACAATGGGAGGCAAGTTGGTTCTCAGTGTTGAGTGAATTCCTCACCTTTGCATCCCTGAACTCTCCAGGGTTTCCTAACCTTACTACAGCCAAGTGGGTGCTCAAAGTGGGTCTCCCCAAACACCAACACCATATTCTTCAGCTCTATTTTGTGAACTATTAGGTAAATTAGGTAAAGCCTAAGTTTATTTGCCCCATGCCCTAGAAATGATGGTGTAGGGAGACGGGCTTTAGGGGAGAGGTGAGTAGAGTACCAAGTATATATGCGCTGGGGCTTTAAACTAGTAATATATTTTCTAAGAACAAGCTGTATTTATGAGGCTGCATCAAAGAGCACAGAGGAAACCTAGCTTTTAAGTTTATTATAATTTTATCGTGTGTGTGTGTGTGTGTGTGTGTGTGTGTGTGTGTGTGTTATGGAGCTTGGAGGACCACTTGTATGAGCTGGTCCTCCTCTCCTTCCACCACAGGGGTCCCAAGGACAGAACTCTGGTCCTCAGACTTGGCAGCAGGTCCTTTACCCATCTCTATGACCCTAAGAGGAAACTTCTAGAAGTTTCCCCTCATCTTTTTTGTTCTGGTGCTCTCCCTGCTGTGGAAGTGACAGTGCCCTGTCCATAGGAGGCCCAATGAACAAGACAGAGCCAGCCTTGGGTGCTGCTCTGGTTGGGTAGCCCTGCTGATCCCTTTGACCATTCTGCATTAGAGAGGGTGCATGCAGCCCAGGCTGGACCTCTAACAGGTTCAGGCACAGCCATGCACACCATTCTTTCCGGCTCCCTATGGACTTCAGTAGATATCTTCTTGTTATCACCTTGGTTCAAGAAGTGCCTCCAGTTTCCTCTGGACAAACTCTTCCAGTGAGCACTTAAGGAAGGAAGATGGGTTCTTTTTACAATTTTTCTGTGCTAGAACTTTACATATATTTCCTTAGTCTTCCTTTAATAGAAGGAGCAAGGTTCTGCCAGTAAAAGAGAACCTGAGACTCACAGACTGAGTACACACATAGCTGAGAACGCTTACGTACCTGTGTGCTTTAAGGTGAGAGACTACCCTATGTGCCCTAAAAAAAAATACTTGAGGGATGAAAGGCTGAACTCACGTAAACCACACAATAGCTTTCAAGGTATGTGCTGTCACCATGTACCCATTCCACAGTTACATAAACAGACCTCACATTAGTTAGACTCGCTACCATGAACTGGGAGATGAACCTCAAATCTAGCCTTGTCTAGTTGAGTCAGGATGCTTTATTCTTTTCACTTAGCAACCTTGTCTGTACAGAGAAGACAAGAATTAAGTTCCCCACAACCTATTTCTCCCTTTCTAAGCAGCAAGTTAAACCTCTGTCTTAGCATGCACCCATTCCTCATAGCACAGTTTGGATTCACATCTGGGGCAGGGAGTTAGAAGTCAAATAGCTTGAAATTGACTGGAGAATAAAAAGAACATCATGAAACATTACCTAGTTGTTTAGCAATGTTGTCATGTATTGTCCAAAATTGGCCTGGAACAGGAGTCCAGCCAAAGAGAGGAACAGAAACAGATCTTGCTTGGGATGGTGGCTGATCTCATTTTTAGCCTTTCTGATTTCTCTGAGAGGCAGGGGTCTTCCAAGCAGAGCCCAGGACTCATGTGGTCCAGACACATGAGCTCAATGGAGGACAGCAGCAGGAGCCGCAGGTCAGCACTGGGAAGAGTTCACAGGAACTCCAGCAGGGAATTAAAATGTACTATATGCTTTTTGCCTTTCAGAGCAATGATTCCCTTTCCTGTTTTTGTTATTCTGAAACTAAAAACATTTGGTTGATGTGCCAGGCAGCAAAAGCAGCAGACACTCCAGGTCGCCACCACCCCTCCTGCCATGCCAGGGGAAGGCAATCAAAATATCTGTGACCTTGGAAAAATCATGGCTAGGGTTTGTACTCAACACCAGCTTCATGTGTCACATTACATTTGATGGGTTATTTGCACTATTTCACTAAGTGCACATTTGCACTAAGAAAAATAGTAATAGTTTTTCAAAAAACCCTAGGAGCTAGGTAGAATTCTTTTAAAATTGAGATGTGTGTGCTACTGGCTTTGTCTGCTCCTCTGGTGAGTTCATCTGTGTGGCTGGACTTGCAGGAAATTGTTGGCTTTGCTTACTGCTGGATCCCATGGAAGGTGCTGTGTGCAAATGAACACAGAACCAAAACAACCAAAGGCAAGCTACTTTAAAAAATCAAAAAGTCTAAAATCCACTCCAGCTGTTCTGATACAGGCATTGAAAAAGATGTTGGTCAATTAAAAATACCTTACAAATTTTACTATACAAAAAAGATGTCAAGGAGATATGTTTATGTACGTCTGTATGTATCACATAAATACATATAATTTGCTCCAATATTCAGCCAAATAGTTCTTCCTTAAATATACCCAAGATGAGCTTTATTTCACAAAACTTTAACATTCAGCTTTCCCAACAAGCTAGCTACTGGTTTATCATGCCATGTTAGCCAGCAAGGCCCCTCACAAAAGCTTTGCAAATCAATGCTTTAGAGATAAACATGGTTACTTTTGAAAAAAATCATGTGTGGTGTATGTATGCACGTGTGTGTGTGTGTGTGTGTGTGTGTGTGTGTGTGTGTGTGGGGTGTGCATATGTGTTTGTGGAGGCTAGCAGTCAGCATCAGGTGTTTTCTTCAATCTATGTCTGCCTAACTTTTTGAGACAGGGTCTCTCTCACTGAACCAGGAGCTCACCAACTCAGCTAGGCTGTACAGACAGCCAAAGAACTCAAGGGATTCTTGTGTGTCTGCCTCCCACACTCTAGCGTTGGGATTACAGTTTGCAGGATAAAGAATTACTAACTGAGCAATCTCCCCTGTGCCCACAGTTACTTTATTCTTCTCTCAGAGTTTTGCTCCTGAAAGTTAGATGCAAGCAAACACACACACACACCACATATTAATCTCAACAGGAAAGTCCATGGCATGGGCTGGAGACCAGCTTGATCTTCCTCCTCCCTAAGCACATGACTCCAGAGTAAAAGCTGAAATTCAGGGTCATGACATCAAGCCTCTGAAGAATACTCAGACATGAAAAATGTATTTTTGCTCATTGCTTCATTTTTACTATGACTAGAAAACACACTAATTCATTTCAAAACTTTCCTAATGAGGTAACTGGAATTGAGGACTTGTCCAAGGCCCTAATTTTTAAGTAGAAGAACCAAGACTCAAACCCACGTCTGTTATGTTCCCTAGGGCCATGTTTTAGCCACCACACTGACTGCCTCATCAGGTGAAACCAAACATACTTTGCAACGTAAAAGCTAACAGAGAGCTTAGGAAGTTTAAAGAGGCAGAACCCTTGCAAAAATAATATACACAACCACAGTTTAAGCCAATTGCTGCTTAACAAGACCAAAAACTGCATAGCCAACTTACAATAACTTTCAGGTTTCCCTTGACGTCAAAGGATTTGACCACCCAGTTGACATTCTTTTTGCAGTTCAAGATCAGGATGAGGTCTTTGACCACCTTAGGATGCTCTTGAGCAGGTCGTATGTCAATGACTATATCCACCTGGAAGGCGCTGTGTGTGGAAAACAAAGGCAAAGTCAAGACCCAGATGCCAGAAGGTTTGCCACTGCTTCCAAGCCTCGTGTTTCCAGTGTCTGGCCAGTTGATTAAAAAGCTGGCATGGATCCCAGGCAAATGACATGTGCAAAACAGATTGCTATTGCACACATAACAAAATGGGTTTACATAACAATAGAAACACAGGCCTGATACTAATTTACCGCTCAAGTTTTCCCCTTTTTGAGAAGGGGAGGGAGAAAGGCCGTTACTCGATGCAGCACCATTTGAAGGGACTTAAACACACCAAGCAAGCTTCATTTTGAAGCAGAATTGTTTGTTTTCAAGCTTCTGTGGCTTGCCCTTCATTGTCCTGTAAATTATAAGTCCCTATATGCTGAAAGCCCTTGAAAAACTTGGCTTGAGTGGCTGATGGTTGGGAGGTGGGAGACATGATGGTGCAAGCACTAGGAAATGCCATTATAAAATATGAGGCAAAAGGCCTCTTGGCTAATGTAAGAGCTGATTAAGGAAAGCATCAACAGTGGTTAAATAATCATATCTGTATCTACTTCCCAAACTTCTGGATAAACAGTTATTAAAGAAAATTAGTAGTCAAAGAAATTAGCATGAAAGAGAATGGTTGCTGGGCGTCGGTGGTGCACGCCTTTAATCCCAGAACTCGGGAGGCAGAGGCAGGAGGATCTCTGTGAGTTCGAGGCCAGCCTGGTCTCCAGAGCGAGTACCAGGATAGGCTCCAAAGCTACACAGAGAAACCCTGTCTCGAAAAACAGAGAGAGAGAGAGAGAGAGAGAGAGAGAGAGAGAGAGAGAATGGTCTATACCAAATGATCACACCCTTTGTCCTGAATTTGGGGAAGTCTGTCTTGGCTACATTTGTGATGCACAATAACCAGGGTGCCCTGGCTTAAAAGTTCCGTACAACATTCTCCAAGCCCCTCCCATTCCTTTTGAGTTTCCCACAGAGTTCTGTACATGGGACTGAATGGAATCCTACCCAAACTGATCTGCAGTCTATTCAGTTTTGAAATGAAACTCTTATTATACTTTTAGTTCCAAAAATCTCTCTACAATAAAACGGTAAAGTTTGAGTCACTGGTCCATGAAATACAGGTCAGAGTGAAAGATAATTTTTTTCTCCTTAAAACAAAACAAAACAAAACAAAAACTAATTATTTTCAATAGGAAAAATTAAACTTCCAGGCCAGGGTAGGAAGCTGAGAGACAGAAAAAGAACACAAGTGGCAAATTGTGCCATCTAATAGATCCTTGGTATGCCTGAAGATTCACTCCTCCAACACACACACACACACACACACACACACACACACACACATACATGCACATGCATGCTCCTCACCTGTAAGGGTTGGAGTTAGGGGTGATTAACTCAATAATGTGTACTTCCTTCTCCTGGGGCTGACTGGATAGGACGCAACCTTCGGCAGGTGTGGGTTGACGGTACCCGGCAAGGTAATTGAGCGAAATAAAATTCTTCCCTATGCTGCACGTGGGAGGGAACACTTGATCTGCAAATAAAGACAGGGCACTCGGTCAAACCACTGAGCTTATGGAACCAGATCAGAAGGAAAGAGGTGACAGCACGACCATGAATGCATGACACAGAAAACATAAGCCCAAAGGGCTCAATTACTGCTCAGAAATGCCTCCCACTTGAGCCACCAGTGAGCTCCTCGTGGTCAATGTTAGTGACTTGTTTTGTTTTGTTCTGCCTACATCCATTCGCTTCTTGTCCTTGCTCATTTCCTATAACCTATGTTATGTTCCACCCTTTTTCACTAGAGTGGTTCTCCCTCTTTGGTCCAGGTTGGAACCCACCTGTTAGCACTCTGTCCCTGTTCCTGAGAGTCTTGACTCAGGATATTGTGTGGGGCATGGACATCTTTCCTCTCCAAAGAGCTCTGTAGTTAATTCTAGTAAACCAAGGCTAAGACTCTCAGCCCTGAGCTGGGGAATGTAGCTCAGGTGGTAAATAAAGTGTTTGCCTCGCATGCACAAGGCCCTGGGTTCCACCTCCAGTGTTGGTATCAGGTGAGGCAGCACACACCCATAATCTCACTACTCAGGAGGTAGAGGTGGGAAAATGAGAAATTTAAGATTGTCTTCAGCTACAAGCAAGTCTGAGGCCAGCCTGGGCTACAGACCTTATCTCAAAACAAACAAACAAAACATCAAAAAAGATATATAGCCATAAGGAAAAATGAAATCATGGCATATGCAGGAAAATGTATGTAAATGGACGCCTATATCAGGTCAAATAACCCAGATGCAGAATTCTGTGCTCTTTCCTCCAGAGATAACCCAATCACTCCTGAGGTATCCACTTGTTCCTAGGCCATCACTCCTCTCCTGGGCTGCAGACTTAGGGCTGTCATTGTTTAACAAAAGGTTCCTACCTAGACAGGCATTTCTCACGAGCACACTCAACACTGAATCCATTTTTAATCCTAGAAGTTTCTCAGATACCTGCAGTTTCAATGCAGGAAGCTATTGGTTCTCTTACCCTGAGGACTGCTATCCACCCCGCCCTGGGAAAAGACATGTCAGTCCCAAGATCCTGAAGACACATGATAGTTACACAGCACTATACCCAATGGGATTTCTATCTCATGGGTTAAATGTTTAAACAGAACCCAAGAGAGAAACTGCTGTCACTGTGACAGCTGGGACCATTGATCAGGAAGTTCTAGGTGAAACCAAATTTTCAGGATAGGAGTTAATCAGACCTGGCACTTCCAGTGTGGCAGCCCTGTATCTTTTAAATTTTAAGGATGGGATGCTTTGGTTCACATCTACCTGGAAGTTACATCTAAAAACAGGAGATGAGTTTTCAAGGTTCCCCGGGCTAGGTTGACATTGCCCCCTCCCCAACCTTGTATGACTTCCATTTGCTGGCCTTTGGCTCACACTGTGGCACTGTAGCTCTAACCACTGAAGTGTCCTCAAAACCACATCCTAATGGAGGACCCCTGCTTGTGTGATTGCTGCAAGAGAGCGGTGGCTCTTGCATCCTGCATTTTTTCTGCAAACTTCCTCCAAGGAAACAGCCCACAGCTTCACAATTCAAGCTGTTGGAACAGCATCCCCTTCCACATCTGCTAAGGGGTTTTCCAGATGTGCTGATGGGGAATGCATAATCCACAGCTGCAGCCCTGTGAATCCTCCCCCAGGTCGCAAGTCGGAAAAATGATATTGGAACTGGAGGGCTGAAACCGGATTGAGAATTTGGAGGTGTGTGTATGGGCCAGAAGACTCGAGACACAGGGACCCTCCTGGGACTGTGGCTTGCGTTTCTAGACAGGTGTGCCTAGCTTGTAGCTGGCACATTATAGACACATAGTACAGGCTTCTGGAGTCCACAAATGATGATTTGAAATTTGAGACAAATAGCTAAAGATTTCTCCCAGGTGGATGAGCCCCTAGGAAAGTCTTAATTATTCACAGGTTGCTGTTAGTAAAGGCTCCAGTCCCAGATGGCACTGTCAACTGAGTGAGCTGATCACATTGTGTTGTGTGGAATCCCCCAAGCTCAAGTGACTTTCCACAAGCTTCACATAAAAACATACACCAAGTGCCAAGTATAGAAAGAGAAGCACAAAAGGGAAGCCCCAGGTCTAAACCTCTTAAGCTTGGTTGGGAAGGTGCAGATTAACATGGCTAAGGACTCTGAGAGCAGCACCGAGCCTTGGAGGTCATATGAAGGCTCCTTTTCCTGCCGTGAAGGCCTACAACCTGGAGAGAAACCCATAGTGCTTGCATAAGAGCCAGCACTCTATACTCTGTCCTTCCACTCCGTGCAGACAGCGAGTATCTCCACCTGGATAGCTCATGGAAGCATGCATTGCTGACCCCCATCCTAGTTTCTTATTTAGTTGGCCAAGACTGAGCTAAAAAGTGGCATCTCTAACAAGGTTCTCAGTAACATTGATGCTTCCAAGGTGGGAACCACACTCTCAAAACCACTGGGGCTTGAGCAAGAAGAGACTCATAACCTAGGATCCCTGATTAGGAAGCTAATTGGTGAGATTGACTCAAGGTGATAACAGTAACATTGCCTGGGGCTATGAGCTTAATGAAGGAGTTTTGCTTAGCCCTCCAACCCCACTCCCATGCTCCTGTCAGTGATATATGCCAGTGACTTAGACCCAGCTAACAGCTGGAATCAAGTTTCTCGGTGGATCCTAGGGATACTCAGAGTCAACCAATTTTTAACCAATCAGGCACCGGCCTTTTAGTTTTGCTTCCCTGTCTTAATGTGAAGCTCAGCTACCTGAGAGTCCTCACTCCTGACACAGGCGACTACTGTGCTATATACATCATCAAGGAAACAATCCAATATTCTAAATGTTTCCACGCCTCTTCATGCTGCTAGGATCTGCTTCAGATGGAAAGGGCACTGGATGATTGCCTTCATTAAAAATATTTTTATTTTTTCAATCTCTTTGTTCCAATGAGGCCTGACTACCATGAGAATCTAGGAACAAATGGAAGCCTTTCAAACTCCACTCCCATCTAAAAGCCCCTTCTCTCAGGCCAACAAGCCCCTTTCCATTCAGCAGTTCACCTTTACTCTAGGGATATGCTGATTTGGGTAAGACTTAAAGGAGAGCATCGGGCAGCAGTAGACTCAACAGTTGAGAAGGGGTGATGGGGGATGTGCTTCTGTGTATGTGTTTGTCTTACTGGATGATAAATAAAGTACTGTTTGGCCAATGAGGCAGCAAGTTAGGCAGGACTAGGAGTCAAAGAGGATTCTGGGAAATGTAGTAGAGAAGTGGTGATCCAGGCAGGAAGTGACATAGCAAGGAGACTCATATTTAAGGAAGGAGAAGTAGGAAGTGGGCCCTTTTCCCCTCTGCTCATCCTCCAGCGGTGCAATGTGATCCACCGGCCAGGAGGACACCAATGGAAGGTGTCTGATAAGTCTTATAAAATATATCGATTTATGATAATTAAGACTGAGCTAACAGATGAGAATCCTAGTCATTGGCCAAGCAGCATTGTACATAATACAAGTCTCTCTGTGCATTAATTGGGGCCCTAACTCGGACGGGCGGCTGGTGTAGAGGGCACACGTGGTGGGGCTCCGAGGCTTTTGGTGGAAAGATTTATTGTAACAAAGGGGCTTTGCCACTTTCTAGTAATGTGGCCCATTCACTTAACCCTCCCCTGAGTGTTGCTGAGAATGACAAAAACAATGGTCCTTCTTGGGATTGCCTGCAGTACCTGTGAAAACTCTAGATACGGCCTTTGCATGTAGCCAACACACCAATGTCAGGGCCCACTCTTATTGCACCTGTCTCATTTTTCCTCTAAAAACACCTCAGATTCAAGCGGGGGATCAAGCATCAACACCTCCATCCCCCAAATGATGTCTGGGTAGGAGGTGATGGCTGTTGTCAGACGTAGCACTTCACACAGCCAACTGAGGACAAGATCCCACCCATAACAGTTATTTCCTAGTAACTTGAGGGGTAGGGGTGTTCCAAATATAATGAACTAAAAATGACTTTAAAATACTTTTAAAAATAAGATTTCAAAATTGATTTGTTAGATATTAATATTTTTCTGCAAGGCAAGGAAATTAAAATGGGCTATCTCTTATCAAAGCATATGTAGTTCCTTTCTCCAAAAAAAAAAAAAAAAACATGTCCTTGTAATGAGTCTTGGTACTAAAAACAATATTGAACACTTTTCCATCTGTCAGTGTCTAAAATTTAACTGATGTCTCAATACTAGAAAGGGACAATGGCTTCAGACATTTGCAGAATAGTAGGTAAGAAGCTGCCCCTGGTGTTAAACCTATCCTGCTAACTCCTTCATTGTGTTAGGCACCACTGCCTTCCCCACACCACTTGCTTATTCTGAATTCCAGGTGTGACTATGTTCTAAATCCTGCACAGCAACCTCCTTTTCTCTCAGACACACCCTACCTTCTCAGCTGGTCATAACCAGCCCCATTTCTGCAGAAGGAAAAAGAGAGGAGGGGGTGTGAGGGGGGAGTGTAGTTCTGATGATGTCCCTTAGGCCTCTGCTAGCTCCAGCACTCTAGAATCCTACCATCCCTGGCTCTGACCACCTGGACTCAGAAAGGCAAACAACCAATGGTTGTAAATCTGTCATTAACAGGGGCCACACAAGACTTACCTTCCCCCACTTTAACATAGATGTTTCTCGATATCTTGAGTTCGGTGAACGATGTCACTGCTCCATACTCCTTCCGGGCCCAGTTTAGCAGATGCTCATTTCCATGAGGGAAACTCCTCTCTCTCGTTTCCGCTGTCGAGGAGAAGTTTTCCGATGAAAACTGGACCATAGACCCCTCCGGCACCTGAAGCAAACATAGTTAATGTGACAGAGTTAGCCAGAGCCAAACCAGAGTTAGAGAAAGCACTGGCCAGATTTAACCATCATCCCTAATTTATCTCTTCCCTCTGCTATGCAAGCAGATGTGACGAGGCAGGCAAGGTCTCTAAGAGCTAACTCAAGAACCCCACTGGGAACAGTGGGAATCCTCTGCGATTTCCCATAAGCCTCCATTAGAGGCCCACCTCCCATGTACCATTGATCTTCACTTACAACGGTGAACGTCTGTGGACTGAATTGGACAATTTAGGGGAAACTCTGCATGTCTCTCAACACACATGGACTTTAAAACTTTTTGGTTCTCTCATTTCCTAAACAGTAGATATAATCACTCTTTGCATATAGTTTATTCTAGATTGGGCACCATTTGTAATGCCACTAACATTGGGCCTGAGCAAACTTGCTGTAGACACTGTGACAGTTACTCACTGGTTGTGTGTAGAAGGCTGTGATAGAGATAACAGAGTAATGACCAAGTGTTATTACTTGGCATTCCCAAGTGTCATCACTAACCAAATGTTTGATTCCCCAGTGTGGACCCCCAGGAACCTCGTTTTGTGATATATGTCAATTTTGTTCTTTTGGTTCAATATTTATTTACTTTGCACATGTATGTATGTGGGCCATGTGTTGAGGTCCAAGGACGACTTCTGAGGGGTTTTCAGGCTTGGCAGCAAGTGCCTTACCCCATGAACTACCTCGTAGACCCCCGTTGAGTTCTTAAAGATTTAAGGAAGCCTTTCTGGTCTGTACTGGCTTAGGAAACACAGAATTAATCACTAATAAACTGGGTAAAAACCACATCACAAGAATGACCACAATGTGCCTTCTGGTACAGTAATGACTTCTAAGGGTCATCATGCTGGTTATAAATAAATCCAGTGTGGAAGGTTTAGCTTTGGCCTTGTTTTGATGTTGTCTGTTCATGTCAAGGCTCGCCTTCCATCTTCTAGCCTCATACTAACCATGCCACCTCTGGGTGTCTCTGCTGGAGTGCAGCCATGCATCAATAATACTATCTCATCTGTGGCTTTCCGCCTTTAGCCTCACAGTAAAACCTCCTAGATGCTGAAGAGCCCAAGTATATTTTTGTTCATCTTGCTCCTGAAGGAATGAAACCCACAGCAGTGCAGGGAGGACTCTGACCCACTGCAGGCATCACCCTGGCTGTGAGGCAAAGCTCCCTAGATGTTTGGTCCCCTCATCCTTTTTATGTTAGAGCTATAAAATTTAACTCTGTGTTTTAAATACATTATGTGAAGCAACCATTTTTTTTTTTCATTGTGAATGAAGAGATGTATCATACTGCTACATTCCAAAGGCAAGAACAGGTGCAAACAGAATAGATCAGCAGCAGTATGGCACACAGCCTGAAGTTATTTAAGAGCCATGTGACAGTGAGGCTCAAGCAAGGGCAGTGCCTGCTGACCAGTCTGTCCATCTTGCCTGCCACACACCATGAACCCTGCCTCGGTGCAGTCTTCTCTCCAGGCAGCCCCAAGGTTCATAAACTCAGGGCTGAGGAATTTGGAACCAGCGCCACTCCTCAGGCACATTCCAATAAGAAGAGAAAGAAGCTGCCAGGGGTAGGGAGTTGTCCCTGACTGCAGGTCAATGGAAATTTTCTGCTTTTGCAAGCAGTTAGTTAGCACTCTCCCCTCAACCCACCAGCTCTGCAGGCCCTACAAAGGCCCTCTGTCATGATGGAGTTACAGAAGGTATCGTTCATGGGTGACCCCCATGATTCTCAGGACTAGTGGTTACTATGATTCCCACAGCAGAAAAGGAAACTGGAGAGGGACAGTCTCCCTCAGTACCAGGCTAAGACCTGCATATGAGACTTGGACTTCTAGTCACAGTGGGCTTCTGTTCTAACCCTCAAAAGAACCTCACAGTCTCTGTCATGATAGGGCTATAGTCTCTTTCAAAGTGGTGTGTGTGTGTGTGTGTGTGTGTGTGTGTGTGTGTGTGTGTGTGATGTGTGTGTATAGGAACATGGCATTATACACATCTGGAGGTCAGAGAATAACTCATGGATTCCAGCAGCCAGAGGCCCTGATAAGCCATCTTTCCAGCCCTATTCTCTTTCTAAGATTCTGTTTGCTGGTCTGAGTCAACCTACCAGGTCAGAGAAACCATTCCTTGTTCTTTGGTAACACAAGCCTTCAAATATTTGAAGATGTCAGTGGACTTTTATCATGTATTCACTCTTCAGGATAATATTCTCAGTTTCTTCATCTCCTCCCTGACACCACGGTTGTCAAATTGTTACCAGCACAGACTCTGAACATAGTACTGGGATAAGACTCAGTTCCTAGCAACCAGCCCCCAACCTGAGGTCATCTAGGCATCACATTACCACAAGCAAGATATCATTTTGGGAACACCAAGAGTTTTAGGAGATGTGTGCCAGATACAAAGACCAAAGACTAAATATAAATTTCTTGGTGTACCACAATAAGTGAATGTGAAATTGTTGCTTTAAAAAAACAAAAGATTAAGCACAAGGATTTTATATTTGGATAAAATAACAAACTTCCTATGGCTATTTATTCCACTGCCCATCCTCCACCTTGGTCCAGGGTCTTTGTCATGCTGCTAACATATTCTAGCCTTTTTATTTTAAAAAAACAAACAAAACAGTATCCAACCCCATTCCTTCACCCATATTCCACATTGTCACCTGGAAAATCTTCCTAAAATCCAAATATGAGATAATATAGAATAGTTAATCATCTTAACATGGCTGGGGAGGAGGCCTGTCTGCTTCCCCTCCAGTTCATACCACCTGGGGAAGAGGACTGTCTGCTTCCCCTCCAGTTCACACCACCTGGGGAAGAGGACTGTCTGCTTCCTCTCCACCTCACACCACTTTCCCACATGCCCAGGGTTTTCCATATAGAAACAGTGACAGCTGCAGACACTCTTGGGTCTTCTATCCTTCTTCCCTGCCTGGACCACTGTGCTGTGCCTCCCCTTGATCTCTTCAGGACATACTTAGCTGACTACTTGTCATCACCATGCCTCCTGCCTGTTCCCTCTCTAACATAACACACCCACCACCTTCCCTTGAGGGCCTAGGAAGCATGTGTCTGTCCATCCTGAATCTCCTTACTGGGCACAGTGCATGGCACAGGATGGGAGGCTCCCTGATGCTACTACCTACAAGGGACGATCACTCTTCCTCACTGCAGTTGCCAGGGCCCCTCGCTTCCCCACCTCCCCAGAAAGTGACTCTGAGCCAGACTTTAAAGCTAATGATTTGATTTCTCACCTAATAACTCCAGCTAAAAGCCAATTATTAAAGCATGCTTAGCAGTTCTGTGTCTCCACCCACAGTGCACTGAACTTTCCTCCTGCTTTCTAATTAAAACCCAACCCCACCCCCACCCCCGACATGACAGATGTCTTCCTGTGGGAATCAGCAGAACACTGAGCTCCAAGGACCTTGACTCTTAGGCAAGGGTCTGTTGAAGGGACAATCACCAAGTAGTTTATGGTCTAGCAACTCCCAGGAAGCCAGCGTGCACCTGAGTCCCTTCTTCCCCGCTTGACCTGCACACAGCATTGGTATTCTAAATTCTGGTGATGCTACCAGACTTTTTTTAAGAGCAGAACATTACTCTATCTGCCAAGGCTGGGAGTTTTATTACAAGAACTTACAACGAAGCTAAAAGAGCCAAGTTTATTATTTTTTCTGGATCAGATTCAATAACCTCATCCAAAAGCACATAAAAAAAATAAAAAAAAAAAAAACCAAAGGAGGCGTCCAGCCCTTTTGTTTCTACACCTGTGTTTGAGCGTTAACTCTTCAAGTCCTAAGTGGACTCATGCATGCCTTGAAGTTGAGCTCACAGGCCAGCGCAAAGGCCAAGCCCATGGGAGACTCTTCCTGGAAGTGAGCTGCTTCATTGCAGCACTGATCCCAGCAGGTCAGCTGACTCAGAGGTTCAGTGGCTGCAGCACCTCTCCAGTCAGCTCAGCCTTCAATGGGGAAGAGGAGGGGAGCTTTGCCTTGGCAGTGCTGTGGCTGCCCTATGCCTCTTCTGGTCCTGGAACCATCCCTGATTCAGCCCCCATCCCCAACCCCAAACAAAGACTCTCAGGTGAGTGCCACAGACGCACATCCAGGCCATAGTGGACCACAGGTGACCGTCGGGTTGCCTTCCACCTGACAGTCTGGCGGCTCTAGGTCCCCCATCTTTCACTGCAGATTATTCCTTACTTTCTAAGATGCCACAGGACAAAGTCACTTTTTATGCTCATTTCCCATCTCTTCCTTTGGAGCTTGGAGTACTCCATGTTGTACTGGGATATCTCCCAAGCATTTGGGATTGGTGATGTCTACAAATAAGACATTAAGTGTCTGATAAAATGCATCTTGAAATTCATTTGGCTGGTTGTGTCTGGCACAAGGTTTGTGCTAAAGGGGATTCAAAGGTCATATTTAGGAACAGAGAAGCGGGAGCAAATGCCACAATCCATTGTGAATGTCAGGGACTCTGATCTCATTCACACATCCAATACAATAACTACCAATAAATAAGCACCTACAATGTTGCTAAAATGGACAGACATTGAAGATACATGTTACAGCTTGATGTTTAAAAAAAAAGTAAAATGTCTTGTGAATTTTATTCTATGTCACACATTTAAATATTATGTTGAATGAGTTACATTTATATATACTTAAATAATATTTAGTTAATATTTATTTATACTTAAATCACACTTGATTTCTATCACATGGCTTCTTCCAAAATGACCCTAAGGAACAAACGTACCTATAGACTTGTGATGTATGTTCATGCATCTGACTCTTAGTCTAGACTCAGGATACAGACACCATGAGCCAGTGACTCCCCAGGTATGACCTCAGACCAGTGTGTAACAGGCAGAAATAAATCAGCATGTAGATCCCATGGTGGTGGAAAGTGAGAACCTAGGACCCTGGAGACTACATCC